TTTCCGAAAAAGGTTTTGATCTGGTCTTCTAACTGGTCTGAGGTGTTCTGGATCCCCAGGTCTAGTTCCCTTAAGTCTGTAGTCCGATCACGTATTTCTTGCGGAATTTGCTCTATCACTTCCAGAAAGTCTTCCAGATACAGCATATTCGCTTCTTATATGCAGTTTCCAGCTGAACACAGGGTGCCAGTCAGTTTTATTTGATTTTAGCTCCTCCGTGATGTACCCAAACAACCAAGATAGCGTAAACGGAGACCAGGACTACTTCTCTCGCTTCTGATTGGTCAGTTCTGTAGTGGAAGGAAAATACTGTGTGCTGATTGGCTAGCATTAGGCGTACCAAGAAACATTTGATTTCATTAAATTTCTTTTGCTGCAATATTAATTGTACAAATGATATTATAACATTTACTTAACTTTAACTATATGATATACGCTAAGCATTTAACACATTTTTACTATGTATAAAAACTCTTATACACAAAAATGTGTAATGCTGAGATACATTGAGTTTTGTAATTATTTTGTAGCGAGTAAACTACACTATACTCGCTCCACTACACCGAGTAAACTGCACTCTATACTCGCTAAACTACATCTTATACTCGTTCCATTATCTCATCATCTTAATGGCGTAACTAATTAGCACTAACTACACAAGCTATAATCCTATCCCTATTTACAGGTATCAGTTCTTCCATCCTCCTATTTTTTTTTTTTTGAGATATATACAAGAGTTATTACATTCTTGTACAGCCACTAGTACGCGTAGCGTTTCGGGCAAGTTCTTAATCCTATGGTCCCTGGAATACGATCCCCTGCCGCGAAGAATCGTTTTTTCATCCAAGTACACATTTTACTGTTGCGTTAAACAGAGGCTACAGTTAAGGAATTGCGCCTATCTTATTGGAGGGAGTTGAGGTGTAGTCACCATATATAAGCAAGCAATATGAGAATAGCAAACGTTACAATTTCCAGTCAAGAATGTAGCAGTCGGCGTATGCAGTTCTAATCGACCCCAAGACACTACAGCTTCGAAACAGAACAGACAGCAGGCTGGGACCGCATCGAGCTACAATGCTCTCCCACATGAGGGAGAGGTGGGACCAAAGAGCCAAAGCTCAACCCCCGCAAGCACAATTAGGTGAGTACATAGAGCTCCGCGACTCCGGCCTCACTCAGCTCTCTGCTCTGCTCCAAGCTCTGTCTCAACGTCTACGACACTGCTGTATCCAAGACTACTAAATAAATATGAAAACCCACTAAATACTGTGTGTCTAATCTACTCAATAACGTAACACAATCATATGTTACAATTTCATTCACTCACGTATATTAGAAAATATTCTACTCTAGCACTCAGGTAAGCTAACTGGGAATCTTTTAAGTCTTAACTCATCCCACCTCAGCCAGGTATAATATATATATATTACAAAAAATCAAAGACCACAGCCCCGCTCCTATGTCAGGTGAGTCCACTACATTGCCCGTGCTGCTTGAAACTTTTCGTTTCCAGTAGCAAAATCTTAAACAACAAATCAAAGACGATAAAATTGGTTGGTTGGGGGGATCCAATATTATTTATTTATTTATTTATTTATTTATTTATTTATTTATTTATTTATTATTTATTTATATACAAGAAGGTACATTGGGTTTGTGAGGATACATAGCATGGTATTTTCATTCTTGTAAAGTCACTAGTACGCGCAGCGTTTCGGACAGGTAATTTTAAGTACGTAAATTCTAGCAGAATTAATAAAATGATAACAGATACATTGCAAGAAAAAAATGAGATGAAAGAGATTAGTAGGTATATTAAAGCACATTGGTAGCTCTGATTGATTGCATTGACAGCTGGATTGGTAATTTAAACAAAGATTAATAGGCACCATACAGCAAATTGATGACATCACACATTAGACAAATTTACATCACACATTAGACACCATACATTAGACAAATGATTTAGCACGGGTGGTACTCGTACAAGAGGACACAGGTGGAAACTTACTACCCAAATGAGCCACAGCTAGAGACATTAGAAAGAATTGTGTTAGAGTAGTTAACAAATTTAATGCATGAGAAAGTGATGTGGTGGAGGTAGACTCCATACACAGTTTTTTCATAGATATGATAGAGCCCAATTAGTATGCTCAGGAAATCATTCAAGTTTGAAGAGAAGCGTTGAAAGTATAATTCCTATACCACACACAGCACCGCTCCTGTGCCAGGTAAGCTAAGGGCTCACCATAGCCCGTGCTACTTGGAACTTGTTCCGAGTATCTGAATCTATAACAACATCCTATACCACAGCCAGAGTGCATGCGTTAATGAGTGAAACCTTGACTACGTTTCAGCATAAAAGAGAGAGAGAGAGAGAGAGAGAGAGAGAGAGAGAGAGAGAGAGAGAGAGAGAGAGAGAGAGAGAGAGAGAGAGAGAGAGAGAGAGAGAGAGAGAGAGAGAGAGAGAGAGAGAGAGATAGATGGATGCATCTGCTCCCCATCATTCATCAGACTGTTGGACAAAGTGGAGAGACGATTGATTGATTGATAAAGATTAAGCCACCCAAGAGGTGGCACGGGCATGAATAGCCCGTAAGTGGTGGCCCTTATGAGCCATTACCAGTATCAAAAGATGATATTGGAGATCTGTGGAGGTTCGACTGCACCCTGCGTGACGGGAGATGTCTCCCACACAATTGATGAAAATTAAACCATCCAAAAGGTGGCACGGGCATGAATAGCCCGTAAGTGGTGCCCTTTTGAGCCATTACCGGTATCAAGAGCTGATACTGGAGATCTGTGGAGGTGCGACTGCACCCTGCGTGACGGGAGATGTCTCCCGTGTGGAGAGACGGGCAGGAAGGCTTATTTCTAGTCTTCAGGTCAGGTGGGAAGGAACAGTTAAACATCAAAGCTTGCAACACCGTCGGGACGTTGGTGGTCTTACTGTTACGTACAAGGCCAATATCCTCAAAGTTTCGCACCTGGTCCACCTTTGTGGAGTACCAGTAGTTGCCACCCGTAGCACTAGGCTCTCAACCTTCAACAGCCTCATGGTGGAAGTGCCATTCTCAAGAACATCACTTCATCAGCGATCTTTCACTCCTAGGCTGACTCACATCTGTAACTTGTTCGCTCAATAGGTTGATACACGGGAGATCAGATCAACTGATCACATGAAGGCTCTGGTACACAGTTGGCTACAAGCTTAACCTGTTCCTTATATGATTGTTACCTAATGTTGTTAATGAATAAAGGCTATTCCTACCTACCTATTTTATGAGCATATAACAGGCTCATAAAATAATTGGGCCTCTAGGAGTAGGTTTCAACTTAGCGGAGGAAGAATTACAGCTCTTGCTTGCAGTTTCACCAGATTCCTTATATGATAGTTCCCTATGTGATAGTTTCATAGTACATTCTCATGAAATAAATAGGTTTCAAGGAGCAGGCTTCAGATGAGCTGAGATACGACAACAGCTCTTGCTTTCAGTTTTACTAGGCACGTCATTGACATCCCTTATGAACCTCTAATCTTGGTTAAAAAAAGTGTGTGTGTATGTGTTAACATAAATATTCCAGAGAGACACAAAGAAAGAAAGGAGGGAGATTTGTGTGTGTATTCACCTAGTTGTGCTTGCGGAGGTTGAGCTCTGCTCTTTCGGCCCGCCTCTCAACTGCCAATCAATCAGCTGTTACTAACTACTAATTCCCCCCCCCCCAACACACACATCCCAAGAAGCAGCCCATAATAGCTGTCTATAACTCCCAGGTACCTATTTACTGCTAGGTAACAGGGGCATCAGGGTGAAAGAAACTTTGCCCATTTGTTTCCGTCTCCACCGGGGATCGAACCCGAAATCTCAGTACTACGAATCCGAAGCGCTGTCCATTCAGCTGTTAGGCCCCCAATCCTCATCTGCCACGTAATATTTCACAGATGCATATAGAAGCAAACTTGGCATCTGACAGCTTCACATATTTCACAGATGGATCAGTAGACCAGCAGGGACAAGAAACCGGAGCTGCAGTTAAGGCAGGAAACTATAAATAGTTGGAGACTCTCAAATGGGTGTTCAACTTTACAGAGATGCTAGCCATTCAAAGAGCTTTGGAACATGCTCTTGCTAAACACCGTCAACATGTTATCATACATACAGATTCGAGAACTGCCATTGAAACCTTGCAACAAGAACACATACATGATAATATCCACCTGATCACAAATGTCATATCATTAATGCAAACACTCAAACGTCAAGTCCGTCGGGTTCTTATCAACTGGGTGCCAAGTCATGTGGGAATAATAGGAAATGACATTGCAGACGAAGCTGCAAAACTTGCAACTAAGAGAAGAAATGTAGACATTTACATACCACAGTGTCTATCACAGATTAAGAAAGTAAATAGAAACAGGGCAGTGCAAAAGATGTACAGTGACCACAACACAGCAGCTGCATCATCCCAACTACGAACCACTTATTTAGATGAAAGGGATCAGTAGAACAACAGAAGTACACTTACATCGCATCAGGCTTGGATACCCATGTGCATGGGAAATAGGCTTACAGGTTCCGGAAGATGAGAGGAAATATCAGCACTGTAGAGAAATGTCCGACAGACCACTGGAACATTATCTGACACAGTGCATAGTTACAAACCCATTAAGATTTCAACCTAGATTCTACAGAGCACAAGAAGTTGTTAAACACATGGGGCAAAATCTTACTGAAGCGACCATACAAGTCAAAAATACTCATACTCCGCCCAAGTAAAACAGAAACAAGCAAAACTTAGTGGGCCAGCCAAAAGATTAGGGCCCGCGCAGGAATATTTCTGCAAAAAAAAAAATTACTATCATTTTATGAGGATGGGCTGAAAGTAGCAAGGTCACTTTTGAGCCGTGGGTCATCAGATAATTTTGATGACCCTCGGCGGGATCATCAGAATTATCCATGTTGACAATACGTGAGTTTTATTTTGTATTCACTAACCTTTATTTGATCATAGCCTCCTATGGCGTTCACTACAATTCTCCTTGCCATTGTGATGTTAAGTGGTGCACTTGCGACCTGCAGTGTGGTGATGACGAGTGTAGTGGAGACTATGGTAGTGATCTACCACAACCGGCGAGACTTGAACAATGCCCGAGATTGTGATCAACAGAGCCCAGTCTGATCCCGTGACATCCCAACCCCCTTCCCGTGAAGAAGCTACCTCTCCTTACACACATACCTGTCGGTGGATTATTTTGTATTAACCACTCCACCGTCTGTCATTCGTATGGAAAGTTCGAATAAGCTTTGTATTAATCCTGATTTTTCTCCGGGGGTATTTACAAATGAAATGGAATTAATGAAGTATATACATGTGTTGGTGGGAGTATAGATGGTGGAGACAGGAGTGACCTACATCCAGAACAGAGGTTACAGGGATACCATCAGTAAGCGGTACACGGCCCATCACAAGGACACACTGCAAGCCAAGGAATACGTAGGGCTCTGGGTGGAGGCGGCAGACAACATTACTGGTACTGTCGTCGAGTTGTCGATACATATGTAATAGGAAAATGGACGCCAATGTTGTGTTAGCTGTCGGTCTGCAATGTTCGTGAAGTCTTCGAGCAAGTAAAATGTTGGTAGTGTACGTAATCAACATTTCCTACTTAAAGTGGGCAAATCTGGGATATTTTGCTAAATTATTCCATAGTTTTGTATCTTAATCCTATGGAGACAAATTTACACCTGCAAATGAAATATAACTGACTTTTCTGTGAATGGAAGAAAACTCTGCATTGGACTGGGACTAATAGTAGCTGGCGGCAGCAGTTCAAGTTCAAGTATGTTTATTGAGACAAGAAAGAAATACATCTCAAAGGGATAGAGTAGCTTAGGCTATTTTTACCCCCCAACGGCGGGAACGAAAAGAATTTGCCCCATGTAGGTGTTCAGTGCCTTACTTCTCCACCGGCTCGACGCCGCCATGGTCTTAGCTGGGTGATTGTCCAAGATGGTCTCGGCTGAGCTCAGTAGCTTCGTCTGTTGTACGTACTCCGACGCATAGTTGGCTTATTCGTTCCTCTTAGTGTGGTAGGCCCGCCTAGTTGAGGGCTGCAGGGAGTTGAGAACCGTCCATACTGTTGAAGGGTGAAGTTGAAAGGCATCAGTCTTGGGGGGTACCGCGGCGGGGTCGTCTGCGAGGCGTGCGTGGTGTAGCAGTTTGGGCGGCAGTACTTGAGGCTGTAGGAGGGCATGGACCGGTGAGAAGTTGTCCTCTGATGGTGCTTCCCGGGCGGCAGGAACGTGGGCTGGACGGTAGAGCGACGGTCTCGCTTCATGCAGGTCGGCGTTCAATCCCCGACCGTCCAGATGGTTGGGCAATCATTCCTTCCCCCCGTCCCATCCCTAATTCTTATCCTGACCCCTTCCCAGTGCTATATAGTCGTAATGGCTTGGTGCTTTATCCTGATAGTTCCCTTCCCGGGCAGTAGGCATGGTGTAGTACACTTGTGCATTCCTAATGTGCTACAAATGTGTATATATTTTTTACCCAGACGAGACATTAAAATACGAATTTAAATCTCTGACCGTATATAAAGAAATTAATTTGTTGACTAATGCTGACTGCAACCTAATATTAAAACCAATAATAAATTAACACATATCTGGATAAATCTATGAAAATATGAATAAGAACAGACTGTAGTGTATTACAAGTAGCACAACAATAAAGTACTGTGAAAGATTTGGAGAAATCTTAAGCAGCCTACCACCAGAATCGAATTAAGATATGCTGAAGTTTACTAGGATGTCAAAATTAGATTTTATGATATTCTTGCAGTAAATAGGCACCCAAGAGTGAGCCGACTGAAATTGTGGGTTGTATCCTGGAGAAATCGTTATCTCTAGAGATCTCTATAATCCCAATTAAGAATTCTTGATCGAGTGTTAATTTATTATGCACCCCATACCCAAGGCTGCCGATGGATAGCGGAAAAGGTTCCGGAGTCACATAGGTTCCTGAACTCCAAATAAGCTAAGCAATTTCCATCTATAGTGAGCCAGTTACCGCTACATATAATTTAATTTACTAGTTATGCACCCCACGCCTATCCAATGGGCGGTGGTGGAAACTTTATAAAAGTGTGCATGAACTACCTGCAGTATGAAAACCTTGGATATTTGGTTAGATTTCTGGTAGTATATCATTTTAAATTAAGTACTTATATATTTCTTAAACATTTGTAATATAATTATTTACGAATTATATAAATTGTTCACATTCCAATACATATAGTGACGTACAAAGCATGTGAATAGTTCTGGTGAAAGCGTTTACGTTCAGTCAGATTGATAAAGATTAAGCCACCCAAGAGGTGGGTGGCACGGGCATGAATAGCCCGTAACGTTCAGTCCGATCAATTTCAGTATATATGGTGGTGCAAGCTCCCAGAGGTACTTCATCTTAACACATTCACAAGGGAGACATCTCCCGTCACGCAGGGTGCATTCGCACCTCCACTGATCTCCAGTAGCTCTTGATACTGGTAATGGCTTAAAAGGGCCACCACTTACGGGCTATTCATGCCCGTGCCACCTTTTGGGTGGCTTAATCTTCATCAATCAATCAATCCCAGAGGTACTTTGAGCCAAAGCCTAAGTCTTGCAGTAGTAACGTTTCCTCTTTGAAAGTACATCTTGTGGGTAACTCATGCATTTGGTAGCCAATATTGGGTGGGATCCATATGAGACTTATTGGTCATTTGATTATATATGTGTCTAGCTTTAGACATACAAAATTATGCACTGGGGAGAGATTTTAAACAAGAACGAAAAGTACACTTACAATTAACGTGTCAACTTTGAATACGTATATTCGTTTAAGTACGAAGAGTATGACAAAGAATTATCTCTGAAGAGTGCAGGCCCAGTTCCTTGATAATTAGAAACGATTTTCCACCGGAGCGAACAGATCTTCCACAGACTGGCCGGAAGAGGCCACCTGTTGCAACACACCTTCGCGCCAAAACTTGATGTCACCTCTTGCCGGGTAATTGCTACCTGTTGATTTTGCATCTTAAACCCCCCAGTAACAAATGATCTCCACTAACTTACGTTGACATATTTTGTGTAATAAACTAACACATGTACTATAACAAGCTAAATTTAAAAATTCTATATGAACAAACATATAATTAAGAAGGCAATAAAACATACATAAATTAATTCATTAATATAAATAAAAATATAAACTAAAAACATAAATTAAGAAGGCAATGGGTCGGAAGTTATTTAGGGTTGTAGAACTCCAGGCACAGATAATATAGGTGAGATATAGATAAATGAACGAATAATACATAGTTACCAAGGCAGGGCGAGGTACTTACTATCTCATTTTAGTAAGAATGCCTACAACTTTGATTTTTTTTATATTTTGTGGCAATGGAAATTAAGTTTGTTATCTATGTGAACACCAACGAATTTCCCATTTACTCTGCTCATAATTTAGGTTTTATTAATTCTCAGATGAATTTGATTCTTGGACTTTTTATTTATTTTTTATTTATTTACATATACAAGAGTTCTTACATTCTTGTACAGCCACTAGCACGCATAGCGTTTCGGGCAAGTCCTTAATCCTAATATTCCCCGGAGACTTTGTACCAGACAATATGTAAAACGTTTTATCGATATTAAAGATAAGTTCATTAACAGTCATCCTCAAATAGGCATTTTTTAGTTCATTATTCAATGTCTTTTAGAATATGTGGGTCAGCATGAGAGAAAATGAAGGTTGTGTCATCTGCAAACAGAATTGGCTTAAAGTGTTGAGTGGCATTTGGAAAATCATTAATGTAGATGAGAAAGAGGAGTGGACCAAGTATACTACCTAAGTATACTTGGTAGTATACTTCAACCTCAAGAATGTGTACTGTGGTAGTATACTTCATCCTCAAGAATGTAGCACTCGGCGTGTACAATTCCAACCTACCCCAAGACGCTACAGCTTCAACAGAGTAGACAGCAGACTACGACCGCATCGAGTTTAGACACTCACCATTACCCATCGAGTCACCACGCTCTCCCGCATAGAGCTCCTCGACTCCGGCCTCACTCAGCTCTCTGCTCTGCTCCAAGTTTCGTCTCAACGTCTACAACACTGCCAACAACCGACTGCTGAACAAATCCATATGAGCCGTGATGAGGGTTCAAACCTACGTCACGGCCCTTGTGGATTTGTTCATTGGATACATACGCTATTGTGATTTCTGTGTGTAATCGTCTGCTGTGACCAAGACTACTAAATAAATATGAAAGCCCACTAAACATTGTGTATCGAGGTCCCCACTGGGGACCTCGATATAAGCCTAACGTGTATGAATACACTCTGGCTTCCTGTCCCCCGGCACAATTAATTATTATAATTATATTAATTAATCAATATAATAATTCATTGATTAATTAATAAATAAATCAATATAATAATTCATTGATTAATTATTAAATAAATCAATATAATAATTCATTGATTAATTAATATAATAATTATAATAATGCATTGATTAATTATTACAATTATTATATTAATCAATAAATTATTCTAATTATATTAATTAATCAATGATTTTTGTCTAATTATTATATTAATCAATGAATTATTATAATTATTATATTAATTAATCAATAAATCTTTTTTAATCAATATAATACTTCATTGATTAATTAATATAATAATGCATTGATTAATTATTACAATTATTATATTAATTAATCAATGAATTATTATATTAATTAATCAATAAAGCAATATAATAATTCTTGATTAATATAATAATTATAATAATGCATTGATTAATTATTACAATTATTGCATTAATTAATCAATAAAATAGTATAATTATTGCGTTAATTAATCAATGAATTATTTTAATTGTTATTTTATCAATGAATTATTATAATTGTTATTTTATCAATGAATTATTATAACTACTATATTAATTAATCAATATATCAATATAATAATTAATTAATTAATTAATATAATAATGCATTGATTAACTATTACAATTATTATATTAATTAATCAATGAATTATTATATTTGTTAATCAATAAATCAATATAGTAATTCATTGATTAATTAATATAATAATTATAATAAAGCATTGATTAATTATTACAATTATTACAATTAATATAATAATTATAATAAAGCATTGATTAATTATTACAATTATTATATTAATTAATCAATATGATAATTCATTGATTAATTAATATAATAATGCATTGATTAACTTATAATTATTATATTAATTAATCAATGAATTATTATATTAATTATTATAATTATATTAATTAATCAATATAATTCATTGATTAATTAATATAATTATTATATTAATTAATCAATGAATTATTATTATATTAATCAATGAATTATTATAATTAATATATTAATCAATGATTATAACGATTATATTAATTAATTCATTATTATAATGATTATATTAATTAATTCATTATTATAATGATTATATTAATTATTATAATGATTATATTAATTAATCATTGATGTATTGTAATTATTATATTAATTAATCAATTAATTATTATAATGATTAAATGAGCTTATCGGATTGTAACTTGCTTAGGTAAATGAATTGGGGGGTTCAGTTCTTGAGCCCATTATGTAGCTCATCCTCTTGAGTTGTCACAACGCTACAAAAATGATGTATCAAATCATCCGAATCTAATCTAACCTAACCGAGGACTCACGAAAATAAACGTAACAGCTCTTCAATTCAGAGACCCGCTATGATTTGCCCAAAACACTATGCGTATTTAGTGGCTTTAGGTATTGTATGTACTAACTCTATCTATAAATCCAACATTATGTTTATAAATCATCTGTGTACTGTATGTACTTTCCTGAATACAAATTTGAATTTGAATTGTAATTCTAATACTTATATCATATTTTGACGTTGGAGATTTATAGGTCAACATGCTATGTACAATTCGAGAGGAGGTTATTTAATGGAGTGCAGAGTAAACGAAAAAATAATAAAAATAAAATAAAACTTACTGTATCACAAAATATATGTGCTAGTGGCTTTATTAAATGTGCATTCATGTAACTACTGATTTAACCATTGTAACATGTTTTGTATATTTTTTAAATGAAATATGATAGTATGCTAGTGGTTTTACAAGAATGTAAGAAGTCTTGTATATATAAATAAAAAAAGTATATTAGGAAGGGTTTGTCCCCTCCATCCCACCCTTTGCTACTAGCAATCCAATAGCCTACTGACCTATTCCCAAATTTAAAACAAATCAGAGAATAAACAAATCACAACACACAGACACATTTCCGAGGCACCATTGGCAGCCACTGCACCAGGAATACATTAATAAGTGACTTACTGAAAGTCAGGGGCTTGTGTATAGGTGAGAGCGGCGGTGGGTCGGCACAAGTGGCCTTCACGTTGTACACACACACACGTCTGTGTGGGGCGCTCCTCCTCCTCCTCCTACTACAACACATGCTGCCCTAGCGGAGCCCAGGTGGGTCATTGCCCAAACGTCTTCCTCTAGGGCTTTATCGCGTCCATTTGTATATGTTCGGGTGGTGAGTGGAGTTTGTGTTAGGGGGTAGTTTGGTTGGTTGGTTTGCTGGGCGTTGTATGGGTCTTAGAGTCGCGTGTTACTGGGAGCAGCGTTAGCAGGGCCCGCCTTGGTTAGCTCGGTGAGGGGGTATATGATCACTATACACGGGTTATTTATTTGGCCTAGGGATCATGCAGAGTTTATTTAGGATGCTTAGTGGCGTGTGTTAATAGGATCATTGATAGGGAGACTGTGGTCAACACAATTTGATAAGCTTCACGAATCCAGAACAATAACAATGTGTATTGCCTCGTGTTGTTAGGCTTATGAAGCACTTACATTTGAACTGCTGAAGGTTACGCTATTTAAAGTAATTTTGTTGGCTGCCTGTTGTAGGAACTGTATGCACAAAGTATCAGTTGTTGACAACACTCTAGAATTAAAATAGAATAAGTGGCTGAGTGTTAATCTGTGCTGTAGCTGCCCCTAACAAACACCCACAACATTATAAAAAGATTAAGTTTACCTGAAAGTTCCGATAGTAAGGTACAGGAAGCCTGTTTGACTTTTTGAGGTCTCCCTAGTCTAATTATCAACCTTTCAAAGAAAGCAACCAGCAGCAATTCACAAATCTAAGGCACTTATTCACTGGTAGTTGAATAGATATATCAAGTGAAGGAAAACATTGCCCAAATACTTCTGTGACCTGATTGTGCTTATCATTGCCAAAGTTTTATCAGTCCATGTGCAGCCGCTCCTATTTATGCCCAATCAAAACACCGTATATCTAACCTATGCATGAAACAATCTAGCAAGCCTAAGCCCATTATTACCCAATAATTTGGTCCATAAATTAACAACTCTATTTCCAAATCAGTATTTACTTGAGTTTATCTAAGGGCCAACATTTCTCTAGCGGTCTCGCCAGGGACAGGAAGCTTGTGGCTTGTTAAAAGGTCCTCGCAGTGTTCTCTAGGTTTCTTTTCCAACTGGATTTTGAATTGAAGTAATAATGTCTTGGCATTTTACGGCTTTTGTTGGTAGGTGGTTCCATGAGTATATAATCCTGTGTATGAAAAGCATCTTTTCTGTCCTACATTGGGGCTTTTTGAATTTGAATCTGTTTCCTCTTGTATAATTACTTTTGACCTGTTAAAGAAGTGGTGTGAATTAATATTCTCTAACTTGTTCAGTACAGTATTTTAAAGGTGGTCTTGATGAGATCAGCTCTTTCATGTCTAGTTTGCAGTGTTAGTCTTGTGATCCTTAATCGTTCCTGGTATGAGAGTTGATGTAGTTCTCATACCAGGACTCACACACAGCTTGAGAATCTATGGAATTTTGAGCTCTCATCTAACCTAAGGACCGTAAGTATGTTGGATCGAGGCCTACGGGATGCCAAGGTATTTGAATACAGTGAAAGTTAGGTTGATATTTCCATCACAGTACAATTAAGGCAACTTTGTTATTCCTGCATCCAAGTAGTGCAGGGGTCCATGTCTATATTCAACATATCCACAGTTATTATGTTTAGATTTAGAAAAGAAACGAGTAACCACTCTTTTGGAAATAAGATTGCTATACTGTATATGAAATGTTACTAGTTAACCTTATTAATATGTTCCTAGTGAAACTTGCTGGAAAGGTTCTGGTGTAGTTTGGATAAAATATGTGGAAGTGGTTGGATATAAATAGAAACTACTTGATTTGGGCCAATTGGTTTTCTATAAATTTCTTTATTCATCACATTTCCAAATATGTTCTGCTTTCAGTAGTGCAGAACTCATTTTGTGATTTATTATGTTTTAATACTCTTCCTACTTCATGTAAACTGAATTCATTGTATAGCAAATTTTTGCATAGAAGGGTCAAATGTGTGTGTAGTTTGGAGCATTAATACATTTATATTTTATAATACTGTAATTGTGTATTGTTGTACTGTATTAAGCTAATTTACTCTTTTTCAGATTTCAAAATGAATTGGAGAGATAGAATTTCCATATTATCAAGGAAGCGGAATCATGGAAGTGCTGGGCCTCCATTAAACAGACTGAATGACCTTCCATCAAGTTCAGGGACCATTACAAGTAACAATATTGCCTCCAACAGTGCCCCAGTGGAGAGTGTAGTGAACACTCTCTCACAGTTGCGTCCTGTTATTGGTCCAGATCTCAAAAGTTACTATATTTTATTACGTGGGGATGAAGATTCATTTACTTGCATCCAGCCTGCTATGGATGTTATAAACAGTTTAGATGAAGTAGTAAAGAATGTCATTAATACTCTAATGTCAGGAAAGCAATCATTGCAAGTTGCAGAATTACCTCCAAATGCCAAAAAACCAAGATATAGTCAAGCTAAAACATACACAAGTTCTTTAGCTCATAGGCAAATTAGTAGCAATAGAAAAAATGGAATTCGTAATTTGGGATCAACATTATTAAAGGAAGAGAAAAGAGTGTCTAGTATTAATATTGAAAACTTGTTCCTCGATAAAGCTGAAAATGGTGTAGTTACTTTTGATTCAAACAAGGATGTAGAAAATGTTTTACTTCACAAAAGAGTACAAGATCTTGAAAGCAATGAACAGGATCAAATGGTGAGAACTACTTCAATATTGGAAAGTAGGTTGAAGTCTAATGTGTTCGTTAAGAATAAGCAGGAATCGTGTTTGTTTATCTCGAGTGACTGTGGAAGTGGAAACATTTCAAACTTGCTAACAGTGCCCACTACTGAACCTGATTTAATTCAAAGCATTGCTCAAAGTGTTTCATCTGTAAGAAGGAGAGATTATAAGAATAGTCAGATTCGTGTATTAAATGAAGATGAGAATTATGTGACTCCACAGGCTTACTTGAGTGAACCTTTAGGAACAATAGAGTCCATCTCAAAAGACCTAGATTGCATAAGTTCCAATGCGAGAGACCTTGATTGCATAGGGTCTAACACGAGAATCTTAGATTGCATAGGGTCGAACACGAGAGACCTAGATTGCATAGGGTCCAACACAAGAGACCTAGATTACATTGGGTCCAACACGAGAGACTTGGATTGCATAGGGTCCAACACGAGAAGCCTAGATTGTGCCCCCACAACATTGGGACCGAACGTACCACTAACAGAATTGTCTCTCATAGCCAAGGAAGGAACTGTGTTGACGGAGGATGAGATCACATCACAGATCAAAACCTTAATAGAGTCAGAGCAGTTAGCTGTTGGAGAGAAGAACCAGATTGTTGTAATAAGGTAAGGACCAAATATAGTACTATTATGCTGTTTTGCTATAAGTTTTGGTAATGATTTTGAGCTGTGTTTATAAATATAAGGAAAAAATGTTTTAACATTAAATGTACAAAAATATGTGTAACATCTTAAATGTAGAGTACTGTACATTGATATTTATTTAGGGCCTGCTATGGTTAATCTCTTTGGCTGATATGGGAAGCAGCACTCGCATGATTAACAGTAGTTGTTCACTGCTGAAAAGTTTTATCAAATGCCTCATAAAAACTTATTTCATTTATAATGTTTGTTTAGATACCTGGCTTTCAGAATGGGAATTTAACTGATATGTCGAGCAACAGCCTAAAACGTCTCCCACTAGGCACGTCGTACATTCTCATTTTTCTGAACTGGCTACTTAATTATTATATCTTGATTAGCAAATTGGGTTTTCAAACTCAACCTGCTCAATGTTTGCTGCCTTTTATCTTGTAGGAGAAATGGTGTGAAATGCTGTCTATGACTATGCTGCAACATGTGTGTTTGCCAGGCACAAGGACCCGAATATTCCCCCTTTTCTCTTCAGGTAGTTGAGTCTACCCAGTAACTGCAGCTACAGGGTAGGCTCGGAGGCAAAATGCTGCTTTGTACGGCTTATGCCTTCAGCCTCTTCAGATATACTCCCTCCTCTCGAGGATCAGGTAGACATTGTCATAATGCTCAAAACTGATTGGTAGTGGAGATTCCGTTGTTAAATCCATAGGCCTTTTGTTAATTAAAAGCAGTGTATTTTCTGAAATTCTACTGGAGGTTTTTGCATACGAAAAGTTCTTGGTTTAAAGTCATGTTGGCAGCAACAATTTGTATTTTTATTTTAAAACTTACACCCTATTACTTCCATTTGAGTTAGAGAGCCTGGAATCACCACACAAACTGATGATAGCCTGTTGGTGGAAGTTTTCCATTCAGAGGGGAAATTGTCATTTATTAAATTTAAAATTCCAGGAGCAGACATTTGTATTTTGCACATGACTATAAATAATTCCAAAGGTGTAATTTTTGTCTAAAATTTTGATCAAGTTAATCAATTTGAATTTGAATAGGAAGATCACAAGGTTGAAGATGGAATGGGTGAAGAAGATTGGGAAATTTACCCCAACCCCTTGCACACTTCTTTACTTGTGATTGCCTCAAGCTTCCCAAGATAATCAAAGCAACGTGATAAAGATTTAAGGTACAACCCTATATCTCAAAGCTTCACAGATGCATTAGAGGAAAAACAGAATACAGATGTGGTATACACTGACTCAAAGGCATTTGATGTGGTCATATTCCATTTAGGTCACTAACCACTTCACAGTTGAAGTCTTAACAACATTTTAAGGGAACATATTACAAGAGCTATCCTTGTGAAGCTATCACAAGGTATGTATATGGTGATGTGCTGGATCCAGTTGTGGGTCATACAACATGGCCAACCTTCACCAGATTCTTCTTGATGATGTTTGGGTAAAGCAAATTGGCGCCTCTTAATGGCTTTAAATATGATAATTAGGCTGTGGCGATACTGTACTGATACACCTATTGATACTGTAGTGGAGAAAGTGTCTTCTAACTTTATGCAGCAGAAGTGCTCTCCACTTGGTTCTATGTAAGGAAACTAGTAAATTGGTAGGTCTATGGATGCAGGATTCTGATAAGGCATGAACATGAATAATCAAGAATTGGAAAGATATATCGGTAAAGTGCAAAAACCAATAAATGACAAGCCTGTGGCTTGCATACTAAGATGGTTTAGTTAGGTAGAGAATGACTGATAGACTGGTGAAGAGAGTATCAGTGTATTTGTGGGTAGGAGAACAAGTCTTGTGAAGAAATAGCAGTGCTACTGTGGATAAGATGAATGGTATTTTGTTTGCTTTTAAATGTCAACAAGTTTTCTTAAATGGTGCCTTTTTTCTCTGCTCTGGCCTCCCTAATCATTGACAGTGTAAAATTAGGCATTAATGAGGATTAAAAGCTGTAGATAACATTATGATGATAATGTATGAAATGTACTTTAAGTACATTTCATACATTAAAATGTACTTAAGTACATTGTGCATAATGTACAATGAAATGTACTTAATGTATGAAAGTGTACTTTAAGGGGAATTTAAATATTAATAGCACTATTGATTTCTTTCTTTTTAAAGCTTATTATTTCACGCAGAGTGTCAGCCCGTGAAGCTTTGGTGAAAATTGTGCAAACTGAAACTGGAGCTGTGGATGAACTGGCCCAACATCAAGAAACAGAAGCTGTCCCAAAATCCACTATGAATAGATTGGTAATTATGGGTATTATGACATTGTAAAAGCACTAGAATTTTGTAAATTTATTCATGATTTCCCATTGCCCTTAGTAAGTTCCCTTCCTTTAAGGGTTAGCTTTGTGTAGTATCATCTGTAGACAAGTTAATCCCTTTAATATCTCAGGCTTTGAAGTAGAGTACTGTAGTTTGAATAGTTACTGCAGAATTCCAGGTGAACGGAGTTACTGTACTGTCAAGTTAATAAAGTAATAGCATTTTCTTGGTGGTGGTACTAAGATGTATATAGGAATGTTAAGGTGAAACAAGTGAGAGACTGCAAAAAACTATTATAATCACAACACACATCATCATTATAACAAGTGTTCAGCTATACCTTTGTATTATGTCACCGCAAGTGAAACAAGTGAGAAACAGGAGAGAAGGTTGGGAAATAAAAAGTCAAAGTAAAGGGGAGAATAAAATGTTACTTGTCCGGCAGAGTAAATGAAAAGCAAAGATGTGAGGTGAAATGCTGCAAGTAAAATAAATGGTGTGTGTGTATATACAAGGAAGGCAGTTTTGACAAATAAATGAGACAGACTAATTGAAAATAGGGTCTCAGCAACACTAATCAGGATAAAACAAATGTAATGGAAGATAAATTAGGGTGACATTATTGTATTTCTATCAAAGTGAGCCTTTGATAGAACCAAAAATAGAAGTTTTTTTTTTTTTCTTTCATAATTTGCTACCCCTCATTGATTTGAATTAAACTGAGTAAATCATCAAACAGTCATATTTCATTTTGGTGTTAGAATAGTTTACAAGTTAATACCTGATAGTGTGCTTCAAAATTCACAATGGTGGTTCATCAGTTTGGGGTCAGGCATGCTTTGGCCCAGGTATCATTAGTCTAAATGGAAGTGAAAGAAGGTAAAAGATTATGATCGAGATTTCATAATACTGTATTTAAATTTCAAATTATGGAGACATGTTACATTCAGTGTAAAATAACATTGTTGACCCCTGGAAAAAGCAGCTTGCCAAAAAAACAATTGCTATAGAGTCGTAATGTCTTGGCGCTTTCCCTTGGTATTTCCCTCCCTCACTGCCCCAATCATCATGATGCTTGGTGACTAACTTACAGCACTTAAAATGGAAAATGTAGCAAATACCATTACATCAGAGATATTCCCGGGAAGTAGTCTAAATGAAGTTACACATAAATGAACCCTTATTTGCCTTAAACCAGCAAATAATGAAACCCACTTGAAAAGAACACACACTAGACCTTATTTTCACAAAAAATGATGAACTGGTTAGGAATGTATTGATTACAAATACTTCCTACTCAGATCACTTCCTGATCAAAGTTCAGACAAGAATGGGCAGTAGATCTGCACAGCCAGTCTCACATCCAAGAGGAGAATTCAGCAAATTCAATTTTAATAATAAATTCATTAACTTGCACTTATAAGCCAAGATCCCTAAAAAATAAGCTGGGAAGAACAGTGAGGTAATGCAAACCTAAATCAGTGCCTTGAGAAGATAGGCAAGGTAGCACTAGACACAGGTTCATCACATTCCACTAAGAAAAATGAGAAAAATATGCAAATTGGAACAAGAATGTCATTCTCTATAGAAGAAAACAAATCACAAAACAACTTCAAAGCCTCACTATTCCAAGAATGACAAGGAAGGTTATGTAAAGAAAGAAACAATCAAGCTAAAGCTACACAAATCATATAAAATCCAAGAGCTAACAAAGAAAGTAAAAGGATATCAGTGAAATAGAGCGGAGCCCAAAGACTTTTTCTCCTATGCAAAATCTAAAACAAAAACTGCGTCTAGCAATGGGCCCTTGTGCAAGGGGAGGAGGGAATTTTCACAGACGATAGCAAAGAGGTAAGTGAAATATTGAGGAAACGGTATAATTCTGTTTTCAGTAAAACCCCTGGACACACTGACGATCGCTGAATGTGATGCCATTATCAAACAATATATCCAAGGCCACCTTAACCCCACTGGACTTTGACATATCCTAGATGGTATGCTCTCACACTGTACCAGGCTTAAATTCCTGGAATTCTATATTCATCAAGTATTACAAAAAACCAGTACATAGATGATTAATAGAAAATTGATGAATATAAATCTAAAGTGAAAGGAAGAGGATTACTGTAAAAGTGAAATCAAAATGCATGTGAATACATGAACAGGAGTACAATGTAACGAGAACAAATAAAAATGGTAGACATGCTGTATTTTCTGTTGATAATTATTAACACTTTCGCGCTATCTGGACGCGCCGGCGCGTTCGGTTTCGTCTAACGTAAACGCATAGTGGACATAAAGTTATGTCAACTTTTAAAATATTTGTATAAAATTCAATTTTTATCCGATTTACTTTGGGTTTGTTTCAAACTGCGCGCTATGAGGCTCTCTTTCTCACCACTAGGCTGCATGGTACAATAAGTTCATGAAAGGTGTGGATAACTTCGATCAAATGGTATTTTGTCCCAAACGGGTTGCAGGTGGGTGACTTTAGCCGTTTATACTGGTAATTCTTCCCCCATATCATGTATTATATGCATATGTCTGTTTAGGGAATTTTATTCCGATCAATATACAACCAAAAATAACTGTGTGCAACAAGTATAATCTTGACAAACATAACAAAAGTAAAAATATTTCGTGTGTGTTTGACGCTCACTGATATGTTCCAGCGTTGTTTTATATTTGTCGCTATTCTAACTTACGCTTTGTTGATATTTTTTACCTATGGGCACATAGAACATTCTATTGCAAACACATTGACATAAAAATGAATGACGTACATAGAAAATTAATGTCATGAGAGTGAAATAAGTATAAACTTTCAAAGCGCCGTGCGTCGTCCCGTCACCGATACCGGGTAACAATTTCACCACTTCCCACACTCTTGCGGGCGGGCTGCATCATTATTCTACGCTTATATTCATATCACCGTGTTGGGAATTTCATTGCGAGTCCATTGATACCAAAATTAACGCTGTAGAGCAAGTGTGGAGGTGATTACAATCCCAAGAGTAAAAACATTTTGTTGCTGATGGGCGCTCACGGCGAGTCATCTACGTAGTTATTTATTTGGTGCTGGTATCCCTATATGTTTCGTGACTTATTTTACTAATGTTCTTCTAGAGAATTTTATTGCGAACACGTTGGTACCAAAATGAAATACGTAGCATGAGAACTAAGGTCAGAAGAGTAAAAAGAGTATACACATTTTTGTTTTTACGCTTAAGCGATAAAAACGCAGCGCGCACATTCGGTTGGCTGAGTGACCTTTGCGGAGAGCGCGAAAGTGTTAAGTTTATTAAGAGCGAAGACCAGCCAAAGAATATGAACCTTCTCTTGTCACAATATTCTGAACCTCATCAGGTGGGTAATATTTAATTGCTAATTGCATTTCACTGAAGTGGTACCGTACAATTTTACAAAATCTGATTATTTCATTATTGTGCATGATATGATTCTCCATGGTCAAGATTTAAACAAAAAACATTACCCTGATAAGATGCTAAATTTTGTACTAATAGTCACAATACAGTGAGTATGAATGAATTTACATGTAAAGGGAAAGGATTGGGGATGGGGCCTGGCATATATTGACCTATGGCCTGTGCCTTTCTGTCTGAGCTGCTCTGCTGGCGTTGAGTTGGAATCTACTTTATGCAGTTTTCTACAGGGTGGTGTAGTTTGTTTATCCTAATGGCCACCCCTGATACTACCTGCACGCATTGTTGGGTGAATGATCATTACTGTATAGCCTTGTGTATATGCGAGCTTTGTCATACTTGGACCATGATCTTTCTTCAGCTTTACATGTACTTCAGCTCGTGATTCTGTAGCTCATTTGCAAATAAGCGGCCGGATCATGATGCAGCAAATCGCACCAGCCTATGCACTGTTGTTGCTTCCAGGCATAGCTGGTGTGGGTTTGTAGCTGTTTTTCCTGTAGCTGTAGTAGTACTAGTAGTAATACTAGTAGTACTAGTAGTAGCAGTAGTAGTAGTAGTAGTATTACTAGTAATAGTACTAATAGTACTAATAGTAGTAGTACTAATAGTAGTAGTAGTACTAATAGTAGTAGTACTAGTAGTAGTACCAGTAGTGGTACTAGTAGTAGTAATAGTAGTACTACTACTAGTACTAGTAGTAGTACTACTACGACTGGAATTGACTGGCAAAATTAGGGTATTAAGCAGACGAGGAGTCACAATAACGTGGCTGAAATAATGTTGACCACACCACACACTAGAAAGTGAAGGGAAATAGGGTGTTAATTCAAAAGTATATTTCACATGTGTTTAACTTGTTTAAAAAGAAGTATATATAAAATAATTTAATGCATTGACCGTCTTATCTTTAAATGCACTTGCAGGATTTTGGCAAGACCAAAGAACATATAGCTCCTGGTCTAAGGGAGACTGTGGCTCAGACTGCTGACTGTGTGATACATCCTCTGGTTGCTTCCCTTACTGAGCCTTTGACTAATGAGGAGCAACAGGAGGACGATGAGCTTGCAAAACTACACTCGGTTTACAAGGCCGGCTCTCCCCACCTCGCGAGTCAAGTTGATGTGTTGGAAACCTTTAGTGATTCTTTGATAGGCGGAGCAGGAGGGGAAATTGTTGTGTTCCAGAGGGAAGATGGAGAATTTGTAAATCAGGTGAGTCCATTAGTTTTCATCTTTCTTGACATACAAGTAGTGGAGGCTGTAGGTTGTACTGTATACTGTTCACCAGTATACCAGCATACATAGGCAAAAATGAATGAAATCAAAGATGTTATTTCTGTATATTAAAAGTAGCCTACCCATTGAAGTTTATTTGATAATTTTGTAAAAAAAAAAAAAAAAAAAAAAAAATGTATGTTTAATTTCCCACCCAGTTTAATTTTTTTTTTAATAATCGTAAATTCACATAGTTTACGGTTTTATTCAGATAATTTGTATTGGGACAGTGACTAGTACTCGTATTCCCACCCCCTTTATAACCCACACTGCTATCCAATTAACCTGTGAAATCAGTAAAGAGATATGCTTAAAAAACATTTGTATAGGCTATCAATGCAAGTGGAGTGAGGTAGCACTTCTTTATTGCATTGAGAATCCACAGGTGAATTTTAAAATATTTTATTATTGACTTTGTCACCTTTATTATAATTTTTTTGTTTTTAAATACTCTGAACTGATGATCCCAGCCTATTAGAGTGGGAAATGGTGGTAATAATAATGGATGTGCACGGCCATATAAAGTTTGTACATTAATGAGAGAAAAATTAAGCTGCACTATACTGCACTTTACATATTATGAATAAAGGTTGCATCTTCCTGCAGGTATTAATGAAAAATAGGAGAGGTCATATAAATAATCATTATGTGGCAGCCTACAATATGATGATTATACCATCCTATTTTTAATCACAACATTATTCCAATTATTCTATCAGTCACATTCATTAATACTTTTGCATTTTTTAGTTGATGCCCCTTTCCTTGTCCAGAGTGAACCACCCCCTTCACCTACTTTATGCATAGGTTTGAACATTGATTTTGATGTGAAAATGTTCAAAAATTAATGTTTGTGAGCATTGCCAATTGGTTATTTTGAAACTATATTCAAAGCAGGGTTAAGTACTGTATCTTATTTTCCTTGGTTTGAGGCAGTTACCTTTCATTAGAGTTCAGTACTGATATCCTTGTTATGTCTTTTCCAATTTACATCCAGTGACCCTTTACAATCACATCTCAGTTTATGTCTTTAGGTTCAATATGCAAAATTTTAAAACAAATTTTCTCCAAAAATGAATCACAATACAGATTAAGATTTCTACGAATTTTCAAATAATATTTTATGTACAGTATCACAAACAATAGGTCTTTCATACTGTCCATACAGACACACAGTCCAGCAGTCAATCTTCAATCTATATAAAGGAAATGTCTCCTCAAGTGCACTACTGCAATTGGTATGCACACTCCCATTTCAATTGAATATAGTCAAGAATGTTAGTGTTTCTGATTTCGTGCTGCATGCCCATACGAATATGTTAATATGGCACAAATATGGCAGTGGGCCCAGGCAAGTTGGAAATAAAATTGTCAGTCTGCCACATCAGGTAGTTTAATATTCACTGCTGTGGAGGATTCCTCTCTACTCTGTATATGTTCCAAGAAGGATGCAGTATGTAAATAACAACAAATGACACCACACTGTTGATGAGTGCTGTCATTTCCTTTATGCAGTAGATTTGTGGCAGGAATATTGGTACTAATGTTTAAGTGGGTATATTATCAAGAGGTGTTAGTTTCTCATATAACACGAAGTTCAATTTAAGTAAAGTCAATATTCATTTGCACTCTCTAGACATGGAACCGTGTGAATATTGAGATTCAGATGTGTACAGCAATAACCCAGTCTGGAAATATTACATTACTGTATAAGAGAAGAAATGTAAGAGTGGTTACTTGTTGCTGAACAGTTTAAATCTTGTGTAGGTTCAATAACTATTTTATGTTCTTTGTGTGCCAGATTTGTTTGATTGAGATTAATTCCTTTAACTTATACAGTGCAACTTTGATTCAGTGACCTATACGGGACCAACCACAATTTATTGCAGTGAGGGATTCATTGAAACTAGATCCCTTCTGGAGGCCTATATTTGTGAACAAAATCCAAGAAATCTCAAAACGAAAATGAATCATAAAATTTGGTTTTAAATGTGCTCAGTGGGTTTTCCTCAAGGCCCCAGATCTATCTCCTAATGTTGCAGTCATCTGCATCAGTCATTAAAAGTGTGATTGTAGCCATATTAACAGTTATCATTCATGCTTTAATATTTCCCACTTTTGGCCAATTTCACTGAGCAAAATTTTAATTTCGACCTGTCATATCAAGGACAGTTACCAAGAGAATCTATCTGTTAAGAGATTTAACCACATTAGCATATTTCCAATGTTCTAGCCTTGAAATCTCATTTTCAAAGGAAGTAGGCCCATATTTTCCTGAACATAAACCCTACAGCTGGAAAAAACAATTATTTCAAATATGCCTAATGGCTTTTCCAAGGCCCCCAACTCTTTCCATAGTACTATGTCCATTTATGCCCCCATTCTTATGTCCATCTATGACAATCATTAAAAAGGTGATTGCATTATTAAACTGTCCCAACATCTTCAGCAAATCCGCACATCCTCTGCTTCATCAAACTCTTGTTCATGAAATCAGGCAAGCAAATCCGACTTGGAAAGTGTGCATTCCAACTGGAGATTCGCCGAATCAGGGTTCCACTGTACAGGTATATGGAATTTGTAGATAAAGCCACTGTGAGGCTGTAAGTTAATATAAAACACAATTATCAATGCACAAGTGTTAACAAAGTCTGTTTGAATAATTGTAGGTGCTCTGTCACTATAGAATGTGATGCATTGGATTAGTGTGTATTGGTTGGCCATGAAGCAAGTAGAAGCAATGCTGTTCCCCCATTTTATTTCTTTGGCTACACTTGCTGCAGACCCAACTGCCAGTCTGTTTTGTATATCACTACATTCCTCCACCCTTCCCTTATGGTGTCTTTGCCTTTCGTTAGTTTTCTTCTGCTACTTTAACACAATCCTTAAAATTTTTACACATTCTTGTTATTTTGGTCAGGCACACACAAAAATATTTCACTGATGTATAACAAAACCAGTCGATATTTTACAGTAAATGTTCAAAGTTTTCTTACAAATTTTTCAACCCCTTCATCTGTTTCCAGAATGTTTAATATTTAGTGTTGTGTATTTGTTTTAATTATACAGTACCTTTTTCAGGATGGAACACCAGTGTCTAGTGAACTTCAGTATTTGATTACCAGTTCTCAACAAGACTTGACCTTAGACCCTGAAGATGATCACACTGATCAATTGTTTGTGCCTCCTGACCACTTTGAACATCATATAGTAGATGTTAATTCAGGATTATGATTATATACAATAACAATTAAGGGAAGTCAGTGTGGAAAAACACAAGAATTAAATATAAATGTTGCAAAAGTAAGTAGAAAAATATTTGTCATTTCATTTGACTCTTGTCTGTATCAATTGTGGTGCAGCACCTGAGGAATACAGTGACTTATCATTCAATAATTTAGAGAAAGTGGTGCAGACTACTTGGTCTGTCTTAAGAGAAAACTAGTATCAGGAGAGTGGAAAATGAAGTAATATAGTTCTTGATGAAGGAGTTGAACTCAAGTCTTGTGGCTCTCTCTCATGTTAGGACATCTTGGATTTAGTCAGGTCAAAATTGCTCCTTCTATGCGGTGTGCAAATATAAGTATTTTAATGCGGGTATTGAATAGTTTCCATTTTTTAATAACTTGTTAAAAGTTAGATTTTATTTTGTTTTTTAGTGAAGAATCCATTTGCTTTTGTAACGTGGAGATTATCAGGATGATAACTAAGGAGACAAATTTAAGTTATTGTGTAATGGTAAATTGAAAAGTAAAGAAATTAAATGAGCTTTAGGATGGGTTGGAAAATGTCAGTAATACAAATATTACCAATGGGTTAACATGTGATGGATAATACAGTACTGGTGAACTCGTGAGTGAACAACAATATGCATGTGTCTGTTGAGCTATAAGGTGTTCTTTAGACTCCAGTGACTGACAGTCCTCTGGCTACTCACAACATGTGCTGGTTGCAGACTATTAAATCTATTCATGTGTCGCTCTCTTTATAAGTACTGTTTTATTTAATGACTGTGTTTATTGCTGTTTTTGTTTTCAGTTGTATTTTGATCATATTTTTGTAAACTTTTTACCATTTATCTAGTTTTATGTGCAGTCAGTATGTACACTCATAATGATGTTAGCCTGTGTCTGTGCTCCCGTGGGGGTGGCTTTGCTGAATTTTCCATCCATTTACCTTGAAACCTTCTGTCCTCTTTTTCTGAATACAGTGGGGTTGGTGACGCATGATCAATGTTCGGAAGATGTTTATTGTTCACTTTACATTACGGTACTTTGAAATACTGTACTGCTTCAGTTATCTAAATGATGTCATTTTCTGTGTTGTTTTCCATGTTCAGAGTTGAGTATAATCACTTTAAAAAGGGCTCCATAGCTATATCCCAGACCATGAATATTTATTTTGCCACTTGATAAAAGCATGATTTATTTATAGCACTAAATCTTGTATATTATCCTCCATGACTTGTACAAATACTGTAATCTGATATATATAATATAATACATTTATTTAAACTCTTTAAAATAGATATTAATGTAAAAAGGTTTGTGCAATGATATAGCACTTTTTAAAGTGACTTGTCATAGCCAGTTGAAGACTTGTTCATATATATGAATTAAGATTAATCATGGCAATTTAGAGGGAAAAAAAAGGAATTGGAATGATTGGGAATTTAAGTAATATGGGAATAGGAATTAAAATAAATTTAAATATAATAAAAATTATATTTTAAAGAGTTAGAGTTAGTATACGCAACATTGTGAATTGAAAGCTATAATGGAGAGTCCAAAATAAAAAGAATATATTGAAAATAGTGAGACCTAAGATTCAAGAAATGAGTGGGTTGCAAATTAACATAAACACCAAGATAAATGTAAAATAAAAAGTATAGTATTCATGTGTGCATTACAGTAATCATTTGTGCATTACAGTATACGTTTAGTGAAGGACGAGAGAGATACAAAGTGAAATATATAAATTAGACTAGATGGAAGTGAAAGTGGGGAAGATGGGAAAAATAAGGTTTGTGTTCACATACATCCGGTAAATTGAGGATTACTTTGTGTGCCGTTGGGAATCCAGACCCAACTGCACACAAAGTTGCTTAGCGAATTATTTTGGTCCATAAACTGTGTGCAAGGTAATTTGTTCCTTTTGAAAAACCATTAAAAAAATAATAAAGACATGCATGGCTAAATTCTTAAAATTGGCATTACATACAACAAAATTATTCATGAACATAGTGAGTAAATAATTTATAATTTGAAAAGTAAGTAATTTAGAAGTTGATTAAAAAATGAACACAGAAATATTAGAAAATTTCTTTTAATTTGAGTAAAATATGAATGTGACCAGGTCCTTTAATTGTTGGTATAATATTAGTATCAGGCAGGTGTTAAAAGTATTGTGTTTATCATAAGAATTAGTTCCTTACAGAAGGTGACTGTTGTATTTCCACTAACTTGTTGGGAATTGGAGTTTTCAATAAGTCACTAAGTTGGACTTGGCAGTGAATAGATGCCTAGTCTTCTAATATTTCAGTAACTTCAGCTCATAAATACTTGTGGCAACCAAGAACTATGGGGATCTTTGTGGACAGTGTCAAGACATTCACATGGTTAGCGAGAAGATGGCTAGTTATATCATGGTTCATTTTCAGATGGTATTAGCTCTTTCAAATATAGAGGTTGCAATAGGTATCAAGAAGTGAGCAAGAAAGCAAGACAGTTGTAATAGTGGGTTCATATTGATTTGATATGATAGAAAATATCAAAAGGATATGCTACAATTGACTGAATTATGTTATTAATTTGTTGTTAAAGACCTGGTCAATTAAAAAAAATGCTTGATAATGAGAAATAATACGAAGGCCAATGATATGAAATACTTAGGCACTTGCAAGATATTCCTTGAATCATGTGATAACTCAGAATTGTATTTAATTTTTTGGGGTCCAATTTAAGATTATTCATATAAAAGTCTAAATAGTTGAGATTACATACAAAAGACTAAGAACAAAACTGAAGACAGGCAAGACAAGATGTGCATGCATTTATCAAGAAAGATAGTACAGTAGTACCTTTTCTTATGGACCTGACGAATCCTCACTGTACAGTATGTCAGTGAAGGCTATTATTAGAGTTGGCTCTGATACCAAAATCTAAATTTGGTAAATTGCCTAAGCATGCCCAAATACTTTTTTTTATTTTTTTCTAACTAGAATGTCTAATTTAAAATCAGATGTATGTACTGAATGGCCTACATTTTCCCTGTGCTATTCTAGCCAATATAAATTTCACAAAAAAGGGAATAATATCTAAAAAAAAAAAAAAAAAAAAAAGTTAATTCAACTGAAAAATGACCACCATACTGTATCTTGTCTGGATACTGTAGTAAATGATGAATCAAGCAGCAAAAACAAACAAGGTCATTGTAAATAATGGTAACAAGATAAGGGAAATTTGACTTGAAATATAAATGCAGAATTTTACAAGAAAATATTGGTGCAGAAAGTGAAGATGGAATATATTTATACAGTTAATAACAATCTCTATGAACCCGATAATAAAACCCAAACCAAAATTATCCAAGAATATACGAAAGTTTGTTGGAAGAATTTTATCAGTATAAATACTGTACATATTAAACCCTAATACAACAAGGATCCTTTTAAAAAACGAATTGTACATAACAAGGATTCTGCACTATTAATAAATCTTGACATTTATATTAGGATGTGAAAAATATTTTTTTGTTTTTTTGGTTTTTTTTAAGGAATTTGATTGTTAAAAATGTATAAAATTGATAATGTATTAGGATTTATTTAAGCTCAATAAGGATTCACGCTATTAATGGGATTTATAAGTTTCCAGGAAGTCTTCTTGGAAGGAGCATTAGATAATGTTAGTAGCAAAAAGAAACTTTCAGAAACTTTAAAAAAGGAATCTCAGTTTTAAACTAGCAAATCATTTAACAAAGGAAAAGGAATAATTGACAGGACAGTTATTAATACGAAGAAAACAAGGACATTTAATATGAATAAACAGTGTAAAAGCAGGAGGGGGGAGGATAATGTACTTGCTACTCTTCACTGATGTATAATTAAGTGATGTCGATGAAAACATTAACTATCCATTTACAAAATATTATGCAGTTATGTAGCTGGAAAATTGGAAGTGTTGCAAATGATATTCTGGATGTAAATATGCAATTATGTTTGATTACAGACATTTGCATAAAATATGAAATTATGAGGCTGTCCAGATTTTAGGTAATTTTTTATACTTGAAAATTCCTAGTTGCACAAGTAGTGAATTTTGTACTATTGCTCTGTTTGCTTTTGTACCTGAATCATTGACAGTTTGTAATAAACATTTAATGTAAAAATAATTTATTAAAAACCTCTTCGTTTACAAAAGCCACATACATGTGTTTGATTTTATGGTATTGTGGAGTGCATGTGTTGCTCTGTACAGGCGTGCTCTTTTACAAGGGAACCATCAGTTTTTATGTTAACTGTCGAGCGATCAGCGGTAAAGTCTTCACATCTACTTTGACCTTAGATTATGTTGGAATCAGTACCAGATGTCAGGATTTGTATTCAGTCTGGATGGTAGTGATTGAACGGATTACTGTGACCTCTCTATTCTCATCTTTCAGATGTGTGCAAACACGCACGTGCACATGCACACACACACACTAACATTCTCTTTTGTCTATTTTTTGTGTGTAAATGTAAGATGATGATTTAACACTACTAGGAAATAATTGTACAGTAAATATGTATTGTTGATACTGAAAACTGTAGCTCCAATTATGATTTTTCTTTGTGCTTATTTGATCTGCCTTTTTGAACCGGTGAGTTTTTCAGTTGTATGGATTTCTTACTTCTCGGTATAGTATGTATTTTCATAACGGTATCGTATTGTGTCTTGTGTGTGAATTTTGTATAGTATAAAAATATTGTAATCTATAAGTATTCATGATACAATGTACAGTGAGACCTTGCTCAAATTATATGGTGCAGAGCCAGTCTGTTCGATCTGTCAGACCAGGACAAACGGGACAAGACAACCCACAAGTCAAACAGGACAGGCAGGCCCCTGGCCTGACAGGACAAATGGCCACCCTAAAGTTTTTTTTTTTTTTTTTTAATATACAAGTATTTTGTATATTTGTTAACATTTTATAAATGATTCCACATAAAACCACTTTTTAATATTGTATATTAATAAAAATAAGATTGCACAGAAGCTTGCAGGGGTTGAGCTTCAGCTCTTTGGTCCCACCCTGGAGAAGAATATTGTGATTGATACCAATTTCAGACAAAATATCTAGTTGGCAACAATGTGGTGAGTGGTGTCAGGAGTGATAAAGTAATTTGTTGTATTTGAGTTTGTTTTAAAGATTTTTATGCACTGTTCAGCAGTACTGTACTGTATTTAATCAAGTTTTGGTTCAGATTAGATTGGCTGTTAATGTGGACTAGTCCTGATGGACACGCATGGCAATGCCTAAAAAAAATATCAAATACAAACTGTTTTTGTTTTATCAAGCAGTTTATACTTTTTTATATTAGCAGTTTATACTAGAATCTTTCTGGCATATCCATGAGTTTGAGTTGGGTCCCACTGTATTTCCATTCTTCTGGGTGCAGAAAATGTAGGCGAGTTGCAATTTAACAGAGCTATTGGTATAGTAGAAGAAATTATATACCCAATAAACTAAGATTATATGTAGCCGGTGTCCTGAAAACAAATACCATGTCAATTTATTGGCCTTACATGATGTCAGCAATTCTACATGTAATATTTATAAAAACTATAATTTTTATGCATTCTTTATGTCTGCAGTAGTAGAAGTGAATATTCATAACAAATTTCTTATCTTTTTTCGGGGGATATTTTACTGTATTGTGATTGTGTATTTATCATTTGTAAAATATAATGTGTGTAATTACTTAATTGTAGTTACTGGATGAGAGTTACATACACGGTGCCCTATCTTCCCAGTACTTTGTCATATGACCTATACAGTAGTCATAATGGCTTAGTGCTTTCTCCTGATAATTACTCTACCTCTGTCATATAATTCTTTGAAACTATTAATTGTTTTTGCATCAATTGCCTTCTCCCATGTTCCAATCATCTACCACTGCAAAACAACTTTCTAATATTTTTGGCACCTTTCTTTACTAAGATTAAATCTATGACCTCCTCTTCTTGAAGTTGCAGGTTTCAAGAATGTATGTATGTGCATGTGTGCGTGTGCCATAGTCCCACCGAAACAAAGCTTCTTGGCCATGCAAGTTTCTATGTACTTGTGTGGTGTGATCTCATTACTCAAGGTTTGTCATTAATTTTTCTTTTGTCAGAAGACATTGTTGATCAAAAGTAGTAGTACTAAAAATTACTGTATTGAGAAAAGTGAACAAGGTTGGGGCGTGATTACCTACATTCTGCTTACATTGAATTTCCAGGATAAGACTGATCTTCAGAAGGATTACCTGTCGAGGATTCTGAGGATCAACGTCCCTGCAGCCTGGTCTCTGACCAGGCCTCGTGGTTGGTGGGCTGGTCAACCAGGCTGTTTAATGTAGCTGCTTGCAGCCTGATGCATGAGTCACAACCTGGTTGATCAGGTCTCATTGAAGGTGTTTGTCAAGCAAAGTAAGGATAAGTAAAAAAATATTATATTTTTCAGTATACTGGTAGTATTTTTGAAATGTATTGTTTAAGTTTACTTGTGTTTTCAACCACTGCAAAGCTTTGTTGTACCATTTGCTGTAAGAAAATTCCTAAAATATCCTTGATAACAAAAAAATTCTCTAGTTGATGTAATGCAAATCATAGTTTGTTGGACCAGATCTGATCACACTTAGCTTTTATAATTGAGGCTCTGTTGGACTTTATTTATATTTATAATTGAGTGGGTATGGAGAAATTGCCAAATCTGCATTTGATAGTGTTACTCTGCCAGAGTATTGGAAACAAAATCTGTAATTGTATCACTAATATGAGAGAGTAGTAATAAGAATTATATAAGGATTAGTCTACTATGCAGATGATGAGTCACAATAACGTAGCTGAAGTTTGACTGAAGACTGAGGTCGATTGACAATCGATTTGATAAGGGTCCAGGATGGACTAAAACGTTGTCGTCTCTTCAGTTTCTAGCGTGTTGTTTGGTCAACACTAGTCTACTAGGTGCAGTGGCCAAAGTATCTGGCAGGATAGTGATCAAAAGAATACAGGAAATAAATAAGAAATGGGTCAGTGATGAATAAGGTAGGTTCTGTGGTGGAGGATTGTGTGTATCACGTACATTATTTGTTTTGAGATACAGTACAGTAGTTGTAAAGAAGGCATATGAGAATGATTGTAAGGTGTATATGGCCACGATGAACTTTGAAAGACGCATAAGGCAAAGTTAGAGAAAGACTTGGGAGCAGGATAAGCATGCATGGAGTTGGCAGAGCTTTGTTAAATGGAATGTTTATTTTATATGGAAGAAGCAGTGCATATGTGAAAGTATAGTAAATGAATGGTTTGATAATTATGTAGGTGTATGCCAGAGCTGTATGATATGCTCTTGCTTGATCAATCTACACATGGATGGGGCCAAAAGGGAGGCTGATAGAAGAGCATTGAAGGAAGGTGTAAACCTAGTGTATCCTGTATATCTAATGTATTGCAATTGGATTATGTTAAAATTTATGTATACAGGTGGTACATTATTTTTGCAGCCCAGTTGAAAGTTTTATTGATGTATGGGAGAAGACTTAAGTGAATGTGGAAAAAAAGTAAAGATTTGGTTGTAATAAGAAAAGAAAATTTAATGGGAAAAGAATTTGCATGATCAAATCTTCAATCTGTATAAATACCTGGAATGTGTGATTGATAAAAAAAAAAAGGAATTTGTGTAATCAAATTGACGTTTTTTCCTTGGCCTTCCTCCTTCCATCATAACAGATCATGGGAAATGGTTTTGTCTAGGTTACATATTGGTCACACCTGCTTAACTCGTGGTCATTTAATGAAGCAACGTAATGCTCCTTCTTGTCTAACCTGTATTGTCCCACTTAGTCGTGCATCTCCATGTAACATACCCTAATTTTCGAGATCATATCTTGCTTTCCTAATATACCTAGAGGTCACTAGTTCCTTAGTAGAATCCTTGATGAATTTAATACCTTTGATATTGCTCACCTTATGTCCTTTTTGTTCTATTGGCATCTCGAGTGATATTTAGCTTCTTTTGAATATACAGTGGCACAAACGGTGCTACATAGTCTTCACGGCTTGGCACTTTTTTAATACTTGATAATTCAAAAGGAACACCATACACTTAATTTTATGAAGTGATGGGATGCTGCTGTTAATAATAGCTAGAGTGTGAAAGTGCTTGTTTATCCATGGTGCTATTTAGTCTGAATGTTGTAATGAATGGACAAGTAATATATATTTTGCAATATCAAATTTTTCACTATATTCCATCTTTTTTCAAGTAGTGCCATCCAACCTTATGATAGTGGGAGACAGGATAATGGGTGTAATAATTGCTAGATTAGGTTGACAGCTAAATGAAATACTGGTTGCTTTATCTTTTGGTAATTAAGCTTCATACTGTAGTAGTCATCTCTCACTTGTGACATCCATGTTGGTAGATACTGTACTGTAGTCACTCAGTATTGTTATACTTGAATGACCCTTTTATCTTCACTCTACTAATATGCTCTCTTGTTTTGAGTGTCATATATGAAAATAGTATGTCTTTTGTGTATGTACTCAACTACACGTAGACCCCAACTTACACCACGACTCAAGTCATCGTCCTCACAGTTGCTTCAGAGAAGTCCTATCTCACTTTCTGTTGATTCCCCTCATTAAATACCTGGTCAATTGGCAGGAATAGCAGTCCAAACCACTTCAGTGCTCCCACTTGGTATGAGGATGTATTATCTGAGGCTTGCCTTTCACCCCCCCCTCCCCCCCAACATACGCTAAGTGCAGGCTAAGGCGTTTCACACATTAAAGATAGTCTCCTGTACTGTACTATAGATGATTATGCCTAATACCTCTGTCCCTTGTGTATCTCCTTTAACATTATGATGTAATTGATTCGTTTATATCTGTGTTAGTATTCTGTCTAATATGTTTTCTTTATCACTAGCCTTACATTTGGTAGTGGTATATGAAAGTCACAAAAGGGATTGAAGTGTTGATAGTCCAGTTGTAACCTTGGATGTTTCTGTTTACAATGATTTTAATGAATAAAGACACTGGATATGGAGTATTAACCTGCAGCTCTCTTCAAATTAATACTCATATGCACAAAGCTGTGATATCAATATAATTAAGCAATACTAAATAATATAAGTGATGGTAATGTCTTCTCACAGACATAATAATATAAGATAAAAACCCACGCTTATTTATTTATTTGTTTGTGAAATTTATGTAATGAATTACACCAAGTCTTTCACACACTCCTGAGTGCTTTGTCAAGGTCTGAGTATCTGGTTAGGATGAGACTTGCATTGCAATGACTAAAATCAACGACTTTATGGCTATTATTTCAGAAATACATAAGTGTGGGGTTTCATACTAAGTAACTTTGTATTAATAATTTTTTGCCTCAAATATTAAGTTATATCATAAACTTACCTCTTGGGTACCAACTTAGCATGACAGAATGGTACTTGTATGCCATTTCTGGGCTTTGAGGGGGATTGCATTGGCCTGTCTGTTGAAGGAGCCACCCTTAGTAGGTGGATATAGGTGTTCAGGCTAGGGAGCTAGAAGAAAAAAAGATTTTTATACTGGCATGAGCAAATTATTGACATCAATGGTCTTCCTTGGGGAAAAAAAAGTGCCATTAGATGAGGTATGCTGTCTGCACTGATTCAACTCCCCATTCTGCCCTGGTACGTAGTATCCCATGACCCCCAGAATTCAACCTTTTTTTTATCATAAATTTGTGTCTTGACCTGCTATAATGTCTTGAAATTATAGTACTGTATGTCCTGAATTTACCTGTGAGCCATCATCTCTAAAGGCTTCCACAGGGACAGGAACAGTATGCAGTATTATTTTGTCATTTATGGCTTCAGCATGTATACAATTCGATGGGTGAAAAAATTTGTCTGCTCTACATTGTGGCTTGGAGAACTTGAAGTTGTTGTCTCTTGTGTGTGTTACACTGGAAGTTTTAAATAAATGATCAGGATTAATACTGTGTCCTTCAATTTGTTGAATATTTTAAAGGTCTCAACACCTTTATATATATACTGTAATAGGGTTAGTAAAACTAAAAAGTTTTACTAACTAAAGTCCTTTTGAAAATTAAATCTGTGCTTGGATACAGTAGTTCGGATGGAGACACCAGAATTTGTACAGCTGAATTACCACTTTCTTTTCATATAAAGAAAAAGGTTCATTTGATTTGTTGTTGTTGTTATTATAGATTCAGCTACTCGGAACAAGTTCCAAGTAGCACAGGCTATGGTGAGCCCGTAACTTACCTGGCACAGGAGCGGGGCAAGTAGCATGGGCTATGGTGAGCCCCTAGTGGACTTACCCGACACAGGAGCGGTGCTGTGTGTTCATTTGATTATTCCTGTGGTTTGAATGGGCATTTTGTTATTGTAGCTCCTACTTGCCGAGCAACTCTTAGATGACTGGTGGAAGATTACCGTCATGTCCTTTTCTTTGTTGTCCTGCTGCCGGGTCATGGCTTCTGATATATTAGTTATAATTTGCATTTTTGTTCACAACATACAAGGTCTTGCATTTTTCAACACTGAAAGGTATTTGAAAGGTATTTACTAGTCTTTTGACCATTTGTGATGTTTATGTAGTTGTTTTGCAAGGCCTCAATATAATTTTTGCAGTTTTAATAATATTCTAAGTGATGGTAACATCATGTGCTAGATTTGAGCATGTTATATATTACCATACAGTATACAGCACAAATTTATCTATGATACTTCTTTATACAAAAATGGTCTATAAGTATAATATTGGTCATTTGCCTGTGTTAAGCATTTAAAACAAGCATACTTAATCCTTAATTAAAACATTAACATGAGAAGTAGAATCAGTAAGTCGAATTCCAACAGCCGTTGTTGAGTTCGTTTCAGACATTTGTATACTGACAATATTGTACAGTATTGCATTGACTTGCTAATATTAGTGTTCTTCTATTCAATTTTGTACAAATATTTTTCAAAATATTGAATTCATATACAGTATTGTAGTAATTAGATTTTGTCTTTTTTTCTAACCTGTATGCATGTGTGTATATGAAAACCTATCAACCCATTTTCCCCTCTTTTTACACACGTGTGTGGATATTGTATTTTATATACATCACTCTCTCTTACAAGCTCAATTTTTATGAATGCTCTTTTTGCATTTATTTTCCAAGATATATTTTTAGTAAATCAGTTAAGGAAACTTTGCAAAAACTTTTGTTAAAATTTTCTCTAATTGTCTGATATTAGCCTCTTGTTTTTCTGAATGTATTCTGGGTAGGTTACATATTGATCACACATAATTAACTCGTGGACACGTAATGGAACAAAGGCCTGCACTTTACTGTCAGAACTGCATTGTCCCCACTTACAGTTGTGCACTTATAGAATGTAATGATTTTCAGGATGATTAGAAATCCTATTTTCCCAATGTCACTACAAGTCATTTGTCTTTGTTAATAATCTGATACCTTAAACATTGTTTTACTCTCATATTAGCATCTAAAAGTATATACTTGGTATAAGAATTTGTGACTGTTTTGTGCCACAGACAGTGCTAAATAGGCTGCCAGGCTCAGTGTCTTCTCTTGATAATTGTTTATTTGCTCATGTGTATACATCCACAGCTCACCCATTAGAGCTCTTGCCATGTCATCCTGGATCATAGGACAGCCTTTTTGTCAGTAGCCATTACGGTATTCTCAGGAATGGAAACTGCAAAATATCAGGCAGTACCACAGATATTTGTGCATAGATGAATTTGTTTATGGATAACTATAGTGTTAGTGCACTGGAGAATGGTGTGTGTATGTTGTGAGAGAGTACAGTGTGTGTGTGTGTGTTTATTGGGGAAGGGTATGGAATGTGTGTGTGTTTGTGGGGAAGGGGGTGTAATTGGATGCTTATGTTTCAGTAACTGGAAGAGAGGTCTTTCCCCACCTACTTGCTGTGTTGCCTCTGTTGCATTAATTATAGGTGTGTGTGTGTGTTGGAAAGGCATTAATTATAGGGGTGTGTGTGTTGGAAAGGCATTAATTATAGGTGTGTGTGTGTGTTGGAAAGGCATTAATTATAGGGGGGTGTGTGTGTTGGAAAGGGTATAGGATATTTCTGAGCTGGGGAAGGATATAGGGTGTGTGCTTGTAAGAGTAAATTGAAGTAAGGGATGCAGTATGCTGCTGGAATTGTTTTGTTAACTCATAATTTTTATTTATTTAGGCTTCTGTATGAGTATGAACACTTATTTTGGAGTTTAATGGGCATTATACTGTACTCGATATAATTCAAATTCAAAATTCAAAAAATTCAAATGTTTATTCAGGTAAAGTACATATATACAAGGGGTGATATATTGCTGAATTTATAGATAGAGCTACAGGTAGTGCCTAAAGCCACTATTATGCAAAGCGTTTCAGGCAGGAAACGCCCAAATGAAATAGTACTGTATGTCTCATGGTTAAGCTTATTTTGACTTGTATATACAGTATAAGGAATCTTTATTCTTTGTAATATTGTGAAAGAAATTAATACACTGTACTGTATGTGTTTTGTGAAATATATAAAAAGAAAAGTATATACGCGTACACTATACAGACAACTACTGTATATTCTTTCCAGACACAGACTGCAACTATCAGAGAAACCTATTTTCCAATATAAATAAATGTTCTGAAATACAGTATTCAGTTAAAAAATCAACTAAAAGAACTTGTGCTGTGATTTCAGAAATGTTAATATGTAAGTTTATACTACATAAACAGTACAAGATATTCACTTGTAAACATGTTTTTTTTATATACAGTATTTACTTCCTTCTAGCATTCCATTATAATGAATTGTACACATTTGAAAGAAAGTGTAATTTTTATGAATTTTGACTAAGAAGTTTTGCATACTGTATATTTGAGCCTACTTCGAGAGAGGCAAATAAACTAGCCACCTGAAATATGGGTAAATGTTAAAAGCTATAGATCATCGCTAACCTTTGAGTGTGCCTTGCATAGTTTTCATGGGTATTCAAACTATTGTATCCATTAATTTTTATTGGGATTTTATATTTATCCTCTGGATGGATACATCTAGCCTTAGAGTCCAAGTCAGTCTTGATGTTAAGGGAAGAGTCAATGTCAGCCAGATAATTCCCAGCATTTCTTATTACAATTGTATATACAATACAGTATTTGTGTCATTTGTAACTTTTCATAATGAGACAAATCATTCAAATATATTTTAATTTTTGTCTAAGAGTGTCACTTATGTTTATTGATATTTTTGTATAATATTGAAAACAAATATAGATGGTTGTATAACAATAATTTCATTTACCTTAAAAAATACATAGAAATGTAATTTTTTTCTAAATACTATTAAGATAAATGCTTAATTATTAAAAATTATAAACGCATGCCACAACAGGAATGTCTGGTTATTTTCATCGCCCCCGTAATAATCCACAAGGCCGTCAGAAAGTTATTATTGTGAAGTAGGCTTAGCTGTGTCAGCGGTGGACAGCGTTTCGGATTCGTAGTCCTGAGATTCCGGGTTCGATCCCCGGTGGAGGCGGAAACAAATGGGCAAATTTTTTTTTCACCCTGATGCCCCTGTTACCTAGCAGTAAATAAGTACCTGGGAGTTAGACAGCTGTTATGGCCTGCTTCCTGGGGGGGGGGGGGTAACAAAAAGGAGGCCTGGTCGAGGACTGTGCCGCAGGGATGCTAAACCCCGAAATCATCTCAAGATTACCTCAAGATAGCTGGGCTCCAAATAACTTGTTGGAAAATCTCAGAGAAGAGATCACAACATTGGATATTTTTTTATATACAGGACCGTAATTGTTAAGGGCGTGTAAGTGAGAACACCCACCGCGTAGGTTCGAATCCTCATCACGGCTCCTACAGCTGATGATCGGGTGACCCGGTGAATGCCTACATCTGTCCTAGAACTGAGCTTTGGGACACCGGCTGGTGGTGGGCTACTTATCCCCTCCCTCCAAACGAGTTGGGGAGGTGGGGCGAACGAGCTCGCGCTAATTCTGAGATAATTCGATCATTTGTTTACATAGATGGGGGAAGTTCCTTCAGGGCTGGTTGTGAGGCTTCGGTCTCTTCGAATCTAGCAGTAATTTTTGACTCTGACTTTCTGACTGCCTTTCCCGGTGATGTGGCGAAAATATACGTCACCGTACCCTGCGATTCTGTAAGGGGGCAGGTTCTGGCTCTGGCATAATTGCATAATTATGTATTAATTGGGAGTGGGTAAACTGTTATTGGTTACATCTATGGATGATGCCAGGTTAGGTGGCTGGATTAGTGAGTTTGAATCTTTGTATGCGAGGACGGGTTGCATTTCAGCCTGTTTTCATGAACAAACGCCAAATGCTTATTAATCCAACCGCCAAACCCCCGTTTATAAATATAAAACGGTTTACACACGACTCAACGATGATGTTCGATCACTTCCCGAACAGTGCTTTGATGACTTCTGTTCGAACCGCAACGCTGGAAATGCTTCACTCACTTCAAATACAAATAATCGCCAACACAACCTCAACACCTAACCTATGCCTAACTATACATATATAATAATATCATTATAAACCAATTTTTAATACACTACGCTAAAATTTATTAATGCGTCTTCGGGAAGGCCGCATCGTTAACGATCCCTGAGAACGGGTTAACATTTGCTCAATGTTTCGAGAATGGGCTGAAAATATCGTGAAAGCACAAATATATTTAAGCTACATTAAAATTACGGGATTTGGTTGTTTGTTATGTTAGCGAAGCACAATTCACGAGAAGAGCCAAACGCTACAATTTGGAGCAATTTTCGACTCCTTATTTACATATTTTAAAGCTATTATAAAACAAAAATATGGCAATTTATATTCTGTCAAAATTGAGTTCCGTTAAGAGGAACGAAACTAGCCTTTGTCATATACAATATAAATTTGAAGATGAGAATTTTACATCTACCTGGAACGGGATGTAAACAAATAACGATCCCTTGTACTTTACTGATATATTAGTGTTTAGGGCGTAGTCCCCCTTTTCGGTGTAAATAGCCTATACGGCGAGTTTATTTTAAGCCTGAACTATTTTCGGGACAAATGTATACATGTTAGAAGGTCAGTGAAGCAACATGGTGGCCTAAATATCACTGTAGAGGTCATTCAACATCAGCGTCCGTCATGGCTGGTGGGAGCGTATACGGTCAATGATCCCGGTGAAGTGTGAGCACTAGGCCTAGTGTGAAGTGTGAGCACTAGGCCTAGTGTGAAGTGTGAGCACTAGGCCTAGTGTGAAGTGTGAGCACTAGGCCTAGTGTGAAGTGTGAGCACTAGGCCTAGTGTGAAGTGTGAGCACTGGGCCTAGTGGGAAGTGTGAGCACTAGGCCTAGTGGGAAGTGTGAGCACTAGGCCAACACCAGGCTAGGTTATTGACAACTGCAGTACCTAATACGTGGTCAGTGTCTCTATGAGATCAGTGTGATGAGTGCAAGAAAACAAAACTAGATTTGTAACTAAAATAATACCAGGAAGGAGAAATATCTCCATGGTATTACTATCATAATAATAATACCATCGCCTCTCCAGGGAGACGATGGTAGCCCACGTCACGAGTCCAACTCGGACACGTCCATGACATGCTTCTCGTCTCACATGAACAGGTAAGTACTTGTGATTGTGTTTCATAATAGCTAGCTTCACTGAGCAGCCAGTTAGCTAATGAGGGCTACATACATGAACAGTATGAGCCTGGGTGTATTCACATGTGGTCATGCCCAGGACAACCTGTCCTTAGACAACGTCCATTCCATTCAGCGGTCGACCCCAAAGACGCCTTCATCAATTTTAGCATGTTGTTCATTTAAAATAGTAATTTTCTCAGATATATATTAATATTATTATATAGTAACATAGTGTGCATATTTAGGCATTGGTTAGGTTAGGGTTTTGTTGGGGATTATTTGTATTTGTAGTACGCGGGTGAAGCATCTACAGCGTTGTGGTTCGAACAAAATTCGTCAGTGAAGCACTTGTTCCGAAAGTGTTCGAACGAAATCAGTTGGGAGTCGTGTGTAAACCATTTTTCATTCATAAACAGGGGGTTTGACGGATGTATTGATTCACTTTTGGGTCTTTGTTCAACCCATCCTCGACTCAAGTCCATTACATCCAGCGGTCAACCCCACAGACGCATTCATAAATTTTAACATGCTGTTCATTCAAAACGGGAATTTTCTCAAGTATAAATTAATATTATAATATATTAGCATATTGTGTATAAATAGGCATAGGTTAGGTTAGGTCAGGTGTTTAGGTTCTGTTGGCGATTATTTGTATTTGTAGTACGTGGGTGAAGCATTTACAGCGTTGTGGTTCGAACAAAATTCGTCAGTGAAGCACTTGTTCCGGATATGTTCGAACGTCAGCAGTTGTGAGTCGTGTGTAAACCGCTTTTCATTCATAAACAGGGGGTTTGGTGGGTGCATGGAATCACTTTTGGATCTTTGTTTAGAGGACGGGCTGCTTTGTTTGGAGGACGGGCTGTTCGCTGAATTTTGTTCGAACCACAACGCTATAAATGCTTCACCCGCGTACTACAAAGTACAAGTAATCGCTAACAGAATCTAACCTAACCAATGACTAAATATGCACAATATGGTTATAAAATAATATTATTTTATATTTGAGAAAAATCCTGTTTTGAATGAACAGCATATTAAAATTTATGAATGCGTCTTTGGGGTCGACCGCTGGGTGCAATGGACTTGGTCTGAGAACGGATTGAAACGCTTAACCCACATACTTCAAATACTAATAATCGCCAACAGAACCAAAACACCTAACCTACGTCTAACTTTACATATAAATGTAACCCCTTCTAGGTTATATAAATGTAATATATAATAATATTAACTTGTATATATAAACAAACCCAATACGGTATGTTAAAAATTGATGAACGCGTCTGGGACGGTAGGCGGACGGCCGCCTCTATCGAGCCTGGCCAAAGAACGGCTTGCATGTGTATAAAGCGTTTTTCATTCATAAACTGGATTTGATAGCTGGATTAACGAGCATTTGGCCTTGTTGATAAGGACGGCCGTTTGTTGTGTTCAGAACAGCAAGCGTTCATTTGTGACCGTATTAATTATAAAACAATAAATGTATTTTTTCATAGAGCTGTATAAAACCAATTTTATTAACATTAAAAATTTTGTGTATATTTTGTAATCAGTAAGCTAGATGTAATTGAAAATGTTTATTTTTTTTCAGTAATACTTGTATTCAAAAGTATGAGTTAATTATTTTTTGAGTAACCCTACTGCTTTACACGTCTATTTCGTAATTTACCCCTGACGAACTAAATGTGTGTCAGCCAGGTAGGGGTTCCTCGAGATTTTACGACATATTTCAAGGGTTTCTCCAAACGAAAAAAGGTTGGGAATCACTGTAGAGTACACACAGGTGCTAAACGTTTGACATGAATATTGGTTTTATGTTGTTGTTTTAGATACGGCTACACTGTGTGGGAAAAACCTGCTGGGATTGATATAAGAGGAGACTACCAGGGACTTGTACTGAACTAAATTAAAAAATTACTGTCTGCAAATTAATTCAATTAAAATCTCTAGCTAGGGTTGTAAATCCTAAATCCTCTTTTCCTAATGACAAACTGTGGGCTGTAAGGGACAGGTGGGGTGAATGACTATGTTGATAGAAGTTCCAATCCACCTGTAGACAGGGATCTCACATCAGCTTGTATTTTATACAAGGATAAGATTTAATAAATTCAGTTATCTGACTGAACACTGGCTCTGTTTAAATCAGAGATTTAAACATACATAGTCTAACCTAGTACCATAACTTAACAGCCAATATGTACTTATACTATAAACAACAAATTAAATTGTAAAAGTATAAATAAATGACCTTAAATGTAGTCTAAATACTGTTAAGTACTAGAAATTATATTCAATTAAATGAACTTATATGATAACTTAAAAATTAACTAAGCAAGCAATTGATAACTTAATTTACATATTCAAATATATATGCAGACATATTCAATTTATATGATACAGTTAGCTTGAGTGAATCTCTTCCAACAATATGGACACTTGTGAGGTTCTTACTTATTGAGGCTGAATTATTTTCTGACAGAATGGACACTCATGAGGTTCAGTGCTTGGATAAGATTCACAGCTACACTACAATTTTAATAAACTTACTGAAATGTGAGGCTTAGCCTCGCTTTTTAACCAACAGACAGATTTATAGGATATTAAAGTTACACAA